GAGTTACATATGCGAAAGGAGGGCGCATACTGAAAGCACTGAGTAATCTGTGAAGTTTCCTGAATCATGAAAAATTGAGTATCACTTAATGTTGCAATAGCACTAGATTACTAATGGTATTAACAAAGCCATGAGATACATTTTTGCAAAATCATGTGTTTCTTTAATGGGTCATAATGGTTTAGTGTCTCAACTGGGCTCTTTTTCAGGCAGAATAGCTCATAGATCATAAAGTATTGTGTCTGGGTAACAGAATATTCCTGATGTTCTTGTGTAACAGCCCTCCCAATCTCTGAACATGCAGCTCCTATGGGACTCAAATTGCACATCTCATATATCAACTTTATGAAACATAACAAGCAAGGGCTGCTTTGAACTGATACAGAGTGAAGAAACTGAGCCAGAGCTTCCATGTAATTTCATAGGAAAGTATATGAGGTACAAAGCAGAGCAGACATAAGTGGTTTCTGACCCTGTTGGAGTGATTTATTTCCCTGAGAGCTAATGAAGGAGAGATAATGAAGACCAATCAGATAAAAAATACCCTCTATTTCATGGGTAAAAGGAGTATAAGTATCTTACTGATACTGTTACTTATACTAAATTTTACAAAGCTGTATTGGTGTGAAAATGTTCTCACAAAAGATCAAAAGCCACCTTTATTACAATGTTCCCATGTGAAAGGCATCACTGTTACTCACATAGTTTCTGCCCACCCAAAGGCAGTGGGTCTGACTGTGGCAGTGCTGCAGCCAAGAGCAAAGGCTGCTGAAGCCTAGTGAGATTTATATCGTATGTCTCCCTCCTTCTTCTCTTACATATTAAACTTGCAATTATTTCCATCACTTGACAAAAGCAGAGGGTATTGTATTCAAATAAAGCTTAGGTTTGTCCAGTGGTTCTTATAATGGCCACGGCTGGCTGATTCACTACTAGTAAAGAATCTAGGGAGTTTGGCAGAGTGCTGCTGTGAAGTGGTATCACCCTGCCCAGAGACAGCAAGTATTCCAGCCCTTTGTCTAGGACTAATTTCACCAAAGACTTTGTTTTTATAGAGAATTTCAGAAAGGTTCTAGCAAAGGCATTCACAACCCATTAACTCTTACACATCCCAAAAGAGAAGTTTGGCAGGCGGTATGTATGCAGCAAATAAACACTGGTGTTTCAAAACATAAACAGGCTGCTGAATAAGACAATTAAGACTTAAGTTTTGTGTTGTTCATTTGATACTATTCTGCCTATCATTTCCCCTTTTTTTCCTACAGCAAACTCTCACTCCTTCCTACTGTTATGGTTCATTATAATCCATTATAGTGTCCTAGCATTGTAGTTCATTATAGTGTTGCTTTGAAGAGCTGTAAGTCAGTCTCTCTGATTGTTCATGAGTCTTTTCCAAAATGTAAAAAATCCTGAGCTTTATATTGCAGAAAATCTTAGAACTGGTGAATTCGGTAGAAGGAAATGCTGGTGCATAGGTGACACAGAGAAATCTCTCTGACCCTGCGGTCATTCCAACCCCTGTGTTGAGCCCTACAGTCATTCCAACCTCTGCGACGGGCCCTGCAGTCATTCCATTCCAACCCCTGTGATGGGCTCTGCAGCTGTTCCAACCCCTGTGATAGGCCCAGTGGTCATTCCAATCCTTGTGACAGGCCCTGTGGCTGTTCCAACCCCTGTGATCAGCCCTGCAACTGGGTCAGGGAAATAGACTGTAGCAGTGCAAGTTGCCTCTACAACCAAGATGAAACAACAGATGAGAAAGTTAGGTCATTTAGAACACAGAGGAACTCCTATTCAGACTGGGGATGAAGATGACGATGGGATAGGATACTCCGCAGTGGCTGGGCCATCACACGAACAGGAAGATGAAGATATCATAAAAGCATCAATAACTATCTGGGCCTCCCACATGGCGGGCAAGAATTCTACCACTGAACCACCATATTCCATGCATTTCTCAGAGCCACTTAGTATCTCTACCACAGTCTCAGCTTGCCCCATCACACCTTCTCCAGGATTATTCCTTGCAATCCTATTCATACTGATAGCATTGCAAAAATATATTGTCGTGCTATATGTGAGCAACAGAGGAAGTGAATACAGTTCACCCAAAGTCTAATAAAAAGATGCTTTACTCAAAAAAAAAAACTTGGAGTCACCAATATGAAAAGCTGTTAAAATTGAATGTGTGTTCCAAATATTTAAACCAACAAAGTAGTTTAAAGGAAAAAGAAGTGTCTTGCCAACTGCTTTAAAAACAAATACAGCCAATATATTTGAATAGCTAAGCACTGATTTTCTTCTAATTAAGTGCCTAGAAAACTTATTAAAAAAAAAATAAAAAATAAAAATAAAGTAACTATCAAAATAAAGATGTAATATGGCAGTACCAGCTTTCAGAAGAAGGCTATATATATACATGCTGGTATAAGATCTAATGTAGCAAGCATCTCTGAGGAGTATGTTAAAGCTGGAATACCATAAGAAACTTTTGTTTTGAAACTAAGATACATAGAACATAGTCTTATTTTGGCAGTTCTTTCTTTCTTATTTAGATCTCTGTAATGCGCTTGCCAATCATTTAGTCATTCTAGTATTCTTGTCAGCCTAGTTCAGTGATAGCTCAGAGCACCCTATAGCTCAGAGCACCCTAAACTTCATAATTTGGATTATGCAGTTTCCAAAATAATAAGGAAAGAACTAATTAACACAGTTTAACAACACTTGAAAATGTTTTAGACATGAACAGAGTGATAAGACAATCAAATATCATAAGATTTTGAAAATAATACATTTTAGCTATTTCAGTGACATCAGTGACATAGCTCATCAAACATAGCAAGAAAATCCATGCCTCTCTACAGCATATTAACAGATACATAATCTACTAAAGACCAGTCTGATAATCATTATCCAGAGGAAACAGAAGAACCGGGAATGTCTTATAAGAAAGAAAAGTGCTTCTCTTAAAGAAATAATGGAAAACAAGGTGGAAAAGGAGATAAGAGCTGTTATAAACAAAAGTTACAGGCAGATGGCAGAGATGTTATTTTTTATTCTGTTTGGTAGAGATCTGAACATAAAGCAGGCTCCTTTCAGCTTGTTCTGAACATTTACAGTTCTGGGCTAGCTAAGCCTATAAGGTGCTATTTACACATACGTGATTGACAACCTCAATAATGCAGGGAGTAAATCAAAATGGAAGTAAATGAAAAGTAAGGAATGTAGATATTCTGCTCCTTTTTATAATTTTCATGTGTAGAAAAGAAATATTTCCGTAAAAAATATCATCAACATTAAAAGATCACAAAATAAGAATAATATTATGGTACTATCTACTAGAAAATTGATGTAGGGGGGGCAAACAGAAAAATATTTTTCCATACTTATCTTATACTTACTCTCCATACAGTAGCTTATTTATTAATACTGCTTCAACAATTATTTTACTCTCAGCACACAAAGCTCCTACAATATTTCATGCAGAGTTCATAAAACTACCACCAGAGAACCTGGCTTGCCCAGAAAATTTCATGGCAGAAGATTCAAATTACATTTTCTTTGCCCTCCAGCACTTCTTTGTATAGCATGGGCAGATTGAATATTTACTTTTTGCATCAAAGTTGTTTTTTTGAACCATAAAATTGTCAGTCTTGAGCACAATTTCCTTCCAGAGCATCGCGCTCTGATGTTTAGCTGTAGCACACCAAACTTGCAAGTATGCAACTGAATCAACCTAAGGCAGCTGAATCCAGGCCAGTCTGGGTTTCACCTGTGCTGCAGCTCCCTCTTTCCATTCCCGGTGTCACACATACACTTTACCACGTGATGAATAAGCATCAGGGGGTGCAGGGCTCCCCACAGGTTCATCTAAATGGGCATTTCCCCCTCTCTCTCTGTGTTAGCCACTTGAAGACATTCCACCTCAACAGGGCAGGCTGGTGCTTCTTTCACACCTTTGGAATGTGGCTTACATGGCAATTCCTGCTTCACTAAAATGTTATATTAATCCTGGGAAAACCTTTCAAATAACTGGTTGTTTGAGCTGCTCAGAGACAAAAGATATACCAGGAAATGTCCTTCATGTCGATGATTGCTGTCGTCACTTTAATCATTGCATCCCCTTTGTGAATTACATAGCTCCAATCTTTTTACAGTTTCATCCCATTTTCACTACACCTACAGCTTCTTCTGTTGATCTCCTGACTCGATAATATTCATGACCTTAGCTCTCTTTTTTTGGGATATTTCCTCCATTGTGGATCAGAAACTGCCACAGTTATTGGACCTATGTAACCTGTACAGAAATCACCAGACTGGAGTTTTCTGGACTCTGTTTTTACCTCAGGCATCAATGTTGTAGTGAACTCTCAAGATACTTCCTGGTAGTTTTATCTTGGCTTGTTTATGATCTGCTCCTACATCACTTTTTCTGAACGATGCATTCCCCATCACTTCGGTACTCCAGGTCATTAAATTAATTGAATTAAATTCAGCCAATCTGGCTTTGACTCCCCAGATCTAATCAGGTTCAAACCCATTGCCTTAACTGTATTTGTGCCATTTTCTTCAAACACCCATAGCCTGAATTGCTGTCTGCTAGTACAGATTCAATGGTGCTTGGTAACCCCCCAAACACAACATTTTTCATGCTGCTTTGAAGCGCAAAATTGTTTATAAAGTTTTGAAAACTGGCATCATCTCTGTTTCTGGATCTCTAGAGGATGGACAATCTGTCTGGAGAAATATGTGCAGAGTGGTAGCTCTGCTGCACTTCTGAGTCTTGTTTAAATTAGATTCTAGGTAGATAGAGACAGACTGGAAAAAGAGGGTATTCACATTCCAGCAGACAAAGACCTCAAGAAAACTAATTAATATACAAGCTCAGGTAGAATTTTCAAATTCAAAACACACATCCTGAAAGGATCATTAGCAAAATAAGGGGGGGAGGGGGGGGGGAGGAGGGGTAGAGGAACCAGGAACCGGAGGTGTCATACAATACAGATGATATACATTTTAATGAATTTATGCCCTAGTATGAAATGAAACGCCTACATTTTCAGTGCAGATGATAAAGTAGCATAAGGGGAAAAAAATGTGGTTGGTTAAAGAACTGAGACTATAGAAATCAAAATTACACCACATTGAAGGTTTATCCAGGACTGAAATTTATGTGTTCACACAAGGAATCTCCATCTAAAAATACCCATGGAACTGGCACAGTATCAAACGTGGGATGCCTCATAGCAGAGGAAATACAAAAGTAGGACTTCCATTAAAAAAAAAAAAAAAAAAAAAAAAGGAGAAACAACAAAACAGCAGAACAACAAAACAGCAGAGTGTGGATTACTGACTGATGGATCTTCACTGGATCATCACCTTTAATACCAGGATAAGTTTAGCAAAAATAGTGTAAGGAGAGGAGGTATAAAGGGATGTAATACAGCATGCAATTCATAGTGCTCAGTTGTATCAAACTGATTGAATTGATCCTTGATGAACATGGCCTTTTTCCTAGAAGAGTAAAAGCCAAGAATTCAAACTATAGAAAATAATAAAAATAATAGTAAATATTAATAAAAATATTTATGCAAATTTTGGAATAACATCCATTTTTTTCACCCTTGAAACAGTAACTCGCTTTTAGTAGACACTTCTTCCTACAGATGCTCACAGTGAGATATGGCAAAACAGAAACAGAGCTGGCTTTCCAATTCCAGCCCTCATTTTTGCATGCTTCTTCATATGGTTTTATTTTTAAACATTCTCCAATAGACATGTAACTTACTTTAGGGCTTACTTCAAGGAAGTTCCTTACAAACTCCCATATGTGGATGCCTAACCCAGAACAGCTGATCTCTGTAAATCAGCAGCAGGCCCAGCAGCAATTGCTGACTGTACAGAGTTGATGGGCTTTGTGTATTTGCAGCACAGTCAGCTCACTAATGAAGAGCTGGCAAGAGGCACGATGCCCCCTGGATCTCATTAGAAAAGCTGACTGTTGAAACATTACCTCAGGACTTGAGCTCAGGTTCTGGATCCATGCCGTGCTGCTGAGGGAGGCCCTGCCTCCCTGGCAAAAGTGGTGCCTTCCTGAGGCATTCGGTAGTTAGCTGTCCTCCCCGTGCCCATTACGGTCACTGTCTCTTCAGACATGGCACAAAGACACTTGGATGTCATCCTGACATAAGGGGCAGGACTTGAGTGGTGTGTGCCCACACAGCCTGCCCCATGTCACGCTGCCTTCCTGGGAGCCCCCACTACCTGAGGAGGAATTAAAGCCCTACGTATGTTGATGTTACTCTAGCCAAACCTCATTACTTGGTTCTCTCAGGTATGGGGGCTGTTTAAAAATGAACTGCAGTCAGTCATTAGTGCTTCCTAACCTGCTCTTATTTTCCTCAGCTGTCATGTCCAGGTTTGCTATTTCCAGCTCAGGCATGCTGGCAAAATGGACGCTTATGGAGTGCTCAGAGCCAAATCTAAAGGTCCCTTGAGGCTGCCAATTGTTTTGCTTGGATTCTCATCCCCACTCTGGCTAAGCAGAAGAGTGAAAACATGACAAATTTGATTACTCTTTCTTCAGCCCTTGAGTACGTAACTTCTGCTGCTGTAAAAACTGGAACCCGAGGCCCCGATTGTGTAAAAATTTATTTAGACAGGAAACAACTACTTGAGCTGTGACAGCAATGCTTCCAGTCAGGCGGAGGAGCCAAGTTGTGGACAACTAGCCCCATGCTGGAGCTTGATGTGCAGTGCCTGCTGACTGTAGTGCCGGTGGCAACACGCACAAGGCTCTTGCAAAGCCAAGGGGAGCATTAGGCTGAGCAGGGAAGCCTCTGTAGGGTTTTAGACTCCTCCAGTGTGGGGCAGTCTTTGGGACAGTCACACAACACCCAGCAGAAGTGTTCTCCAGACAGGATTCTGCTTTTAAGCCACTGGGTATTGGATTGGAACTAAAGCTGCAGAAATATTTGAAAAATAAGGAAAAAATTTAGGATCTTAACTGCAGATTTTCATTAGCAAAGATTAAAAGCTAAGTTAGTCTAAACAGAGCAAAGGCTCTATTAAGCAAAGGCTCTACTTACTAATATAGCATTTAACATTTCCAAGTCACTATAAGTATAGCTGGCAGTGCAGCGTCAGCTGCTTTGCATGCACGATTACATTTGGTGTTTGGAGACCACCCATATTTTTGGTTAATGCAATTGTTGGGCACAATGCTGCAGGTAAAATATCTCGATGCTTATCTATGAACTCAGAGGCAGGGTTTATGCAGAGATATATGAGAAACACTTTTCTGAACAATGGATTTAATACTCTAGACGGGAATATCCTGGCTATGGACATCTAACACTATTTTTTCTTCTGTGTCTGTATACAGATATATAATATACATAATCGTGTAACATTAGTAGCATCCAGCTTGCTGAGATGTCTGTCAGAGATGCTCAAGCTCAGCGTCACACTGGAGCAAATGCTCACGGCAGCACTCCCAGCTGTCTGTCCTTCAGGACATTTGTGTTTCCCACTGGCTTAGTGAGGCACAGCACTCACTGCTGTTGTCCTGGCTCCAGCTTTCCTGCAACTTCCACCTTTTTCATTTGATAGAAGCATGGCATCCTGAAAAACACTGGCAATCTCTCAGTTATTGTGGTGTGCCTTATTTGACAGACTTCACAGCTCTGCTACTGCTTCAGTTTACCACAATAAAGTAACCATTTTAGTGCACACAAAGGGTGTTTCTTTTTCCTTTTTACGTCTCCTGTGCTTCTGATTTATTGTGGTTCCCTTACATGTCTCTAAGGAATGTCTCTCACTGTATTTTCTGCAGATAATGTTGTCTTATGGCACAGCGCCAATTTAGAAGATAAGCAGTTATACCTGTTTCAAGATTTGCCATTTGGCATCTCCATGGAGAAAATTCCCAGTAACAAAGGAAAAAACTAAGTACTCACAGCTCCCCAGATGCACCCTAGAAGTGTAATTACATAGCTAAACACTGAGCCCTGCCTTCCAGGGATATGCCGGCTAAGGGGCACAGTTTACACTGCACCTTTGGCCGCGATCACCTCTGCTGTCACACCACACATTTGTTGGGCACTGTTGTATTGCGTTAAATACTGTCTTCTCTAAGCAGTAGAAAATATTTTCTACAGCTATGTATGAAATATATGCATGTCATTAATCTACTGCCATTAAACTGCAGTCTTATCAAGTTTTCTTTTCCTTTATTTCATTATTTCTTTTTTTAAAAAATAGACTTCAAATCTCTTCACATCTCTTGATTTTCAATGGCAAATCCATTTCTGTTCCCTGTTATATTGCAGTTTGCTCCTCTTACATGCAATTCACATCTTAAATAGAGTGACAAGCCGTAAGTCATACTGCATGAATTCATTTCTCCTTATTGAAGCATTGATGATAGATTATTTTTTAATGTAATTTTAGTCCAAAGACATTTGACTGAGGAGGATTTAGAAACAAAAAAGTGGGGATATCATATCTGCAGTGCCTAATGTCTCTGCTTAGCCTGGGATAACTTTGATCCCAACTCTTTCAGTTCTTTACTGGGCAGAAGCTGAGACTGACTTGCTTTTAGGGCTTTTGATGTTTATTTGATGAGAGAATACTTTCCTGACAAAGCTAAACGGAGCTTTAAGAAACACTTCTAGTTAGCATTAGAAAACTGCTTTTTAGTTTTTTCTAATTTAGATAACACACATTTGTCCAAGTGACCTACATTCCACATAAAATAAAAGCAAAAGTAGAAAATTCGCTAAGCTGAACTCCCTACATAGGGTAGGTCCCAAAGGAACTGTAAGGAGCCAGTGTTTCCTGGTGCTTTCTAACATTTAACCTAATAATAATAATAATAATTGGAATGAAGTATGCAGACAAGTTTTGTTGTTTTAGTCCATTCTGCCTAAACACTGGCACAGAAAATGATAATGTATCTCAAAATAAACAAAAAAACATGCATATTAAAAAAAAAAAAAAAAAAAGAAGAATTAAATATCTTTATGGCCATGTTAGTACAGTACACTTCCCATGTTTACTTCCAGAACTTAATGCACTGTTTTTACTTCACAATTTTTTCATCAAGACTAGGTAATAATTGCTCACAGCCACTTACAGGTTGCTTTCATCATTACCTAAAAGCTATCTTTTTTTTTTCTTTTTTTCTTATTTTCTTTTTTTTTCCCTCAGTTACTTTTTTGATATTTTTGTTCACTGGAAAATACTTGTGTGGCTATTTCATACTACTGTTTTAATCAACTTTCATTAGAATATATTCTACATTTTCTACATTAAGTTTAATCAGTAACTAATAACTTGAACAAATGCCTCTCTACAATAATTCTTCTAAGATTGGCAAAATTATATTAAGCCTCTTACCTATCTCAAGTAGTATGTATCTGAAAATCAGCACACTCTGAGAGATATAGGTGTTCAAATATTAAGTTCCAAAAAGTAACATAAAGGATTAAGGTATGCAACAGTATTCCTAACAAGGAATGCAGAAATTGGGAAAGATTTTTCAGATTTCTTCTCGCCAAGAGATCCTGAGGCTCCAAGAACCTTCATGACCTACCGGACTGCAAGTTGTATGCATTAGAGAGGGAAAAAATCTTCCATGGGTTGTCCTAAAATTAAAAATTTCCTGCTTTACTTCCAACAGGCTCTGTAGAAAACAGGACAGTAGCAGTAATTTAAATTATTGCTTTAAAATAAATGTGTATGAGAAATATATTTTTAGACAATTTCTCCCAATAGAACAGTGGCTTCCAGCTGAACAAACTAATTAAACAGATCAGTTCTAGCCAGGGACTTAGCACTAATAGTGCAAACAACTTACACTTCAGTTACAGTCACTAGCTCCCAGTGGGAAAGTTTACTCTTAACTACATCCCTCTAGCAGGGGAAAATAGAAGGAAAAAAAAAAAGTGTTTTTTTTTTTTTAATTTTTTGTTTGTTTGTTTATTTTGCTTTGCTTTTAGTATTCAACTGCTGAGTTATTTGTCTTATATTTTCCATTTCCAGCATAAATTAAACTCTATACAGTAGATCGCAAGAATAATTGACTTCTTTAAGCAGACAACATGACGCACGCCATCTTGAAAGTGCTAATTTTTTTTGTTTCCATTTGTGGGGTAGGCAAATTATGTACTGTACAGTTTGAACAAACCCATCCATGTGATTTTATCAAAGATCTTCTTTTTGTGGTTATAAGTTCTGCCACACCACTTGATGGTCTGTTTTTCATAAATGGAAACATTTCTGGTTGCTGGAGGGTGAAGAAGATGACATTTCCATAAGCAGAGTAGCTACATGTACATTTGTGGTTCACTCATTGGCAAAAATCTAGTAAATGCCAAACTCATGGGGTTTGGGATCATATATATGTTAGTCACAGACTTGTTTCTTCTCTGAAGGAATCAAAAAAGAGGTTGCTGAAAGCATTTTTCCACCCATTTGTTATACATTTTATAGGTCACGAATTCTAACTTTGTGACCTACCCTTTATTCTCATTCAGTAAGATTATTTCCTTAAGAAAAGTGAATCTATGCCTTTGAATAATTACACATTAAAAGTAAAATGATTTATTTCAGACAAAGTTTAAAATTGCACAAGTGCTGATTGAGAGTCTGATCCAACACTCGAGACTGGAGCACACCGAGTTCTGGGAGGCACTGCAGAAGAACATATGTAGCCATCATGTAGGGAGCAAATCTTCCTCATGGGGTAAAGGATGCCCTGTGTTACAGGGCTTCTGTCTCAACACAACATAGGAAGTGTCTCCTTAAGATGCCCCCTACAACCACCCAGCAGATATGAAGGCCACCCAGGGCTCAATGGAGTAAGGGCTGCACCAGCGATGTGGTGGTCCTGTCTGGACCTTAGGTGCAGATATCTATTTGAGTATGCATTTGGCCTGTGCTGTGGAGGCCCCAGAACCAACAAAGCCAAACCGCTACAAGCAAAGCTTCTGAAGAGCCCTGGGATAAGAAAGGCTGGAGGAAAATGAATTGCCTACAAGAAAATGTGAGGGAACTCCAGTGGCTCTCTAACACAGAGAGGGAACCTAATGCAGCTGTTCAGGTGCCAGCTGCTCATACCAGCTCCAGAGGCTCTTGCAGTCTTCTCCCCATGTAACAGTGACACTGAATATGAGGAAAAGTTAGTACTGAAGCAGCGTTGTTTTTTTCAAAATGTCATAGCAGCAATGTCTTTGTTGTTGTGCAAGGCCTTACTGCTGGAAAAATGGATATTCAACACAAGATTTTTTTCATTAATTTTTATGAGACAAAGGTTAACATTTTTTCTGTAGTTTACTTTGTTCCCTTAGTATTACTTTAGACTATTGGCAGCCTAACTGCCTGCCAGAAAGCTAATTTGATCACTCACATAACAGGCAGATCCATGTCCTCCAGAGGATATTGAAAATGCTGGTTTAGCATTGAGGAGGTTATAAATCCACTCAATGGGATATGGCTGAAGGTTCAAGGAACAGCCACACTGAAAAATAAGTGATTATTTTCTTGTTACAGCCTTGGGATCATTTCTAAGTTAGCTGGTCCCTCTAGAGTCTGGCTCATGTGCAGCACAAAACCTTAAGAAATTTTATAAAGCAATCATATAGATTTCTAAATTTTCTAATTTTAAGAGATAAACACATAGATCAACAGAATAAGTAAAAAATATTTCAGAGAAAATGAGTTTTTCTGGGTCTTGGAAAATGTGAACTTTACTGTTCATCCTGAGAGACTTTAACCCATGTGCTTCCTCCTGTTGGGAACCCCACAAGCCTCTTGCACTCAGTCTCTTACTCAGTACTCTGAGAGGACCAATATATGTGGCTTGTGTTAAAGAACACATGTTCTGGCAATATAGCTTACTTCCTCATTAACATCCTGAGGAATATCCAGACTCTATGTCTCCGAGTCGGAAGTATACCCA